TCAATAACATGAAGTCATGAACTAATAAATGCATTCGCCATAAAAATACTCAAGTTGCAGCTTCAATCCCAGGTATATAAGATCATTAAGTGTGTATATTCTTTGAATCCCGAAACGTCGTCTCACCTTCTAGCAACAATAGCGTTAAGTTTTTCAACGGCTTTAGTTGTTTAAGCATTTGCTCGCGTTCTTTTATGTTCTCTATGTTTTATCTTTTGCTATTGTAGCATTGTTCTTGTTGGTTTTGATGACCTTATTTCATGTTTTGTAAATTTTTTCTCTTTTCAAAGAGAATAACAAATCAATAAAAATTTTGTTGTGACAAATAAAAAAGATTCGTAATTCATTTCAGGGTCATGGATCAATAAGTCAGAATTCAACTCAAAATTGTGTCGTTTTTTTTTGATAAACTGTTAGAATTTCGGATGTTTGATCCATAATCTCCTCGGTATACCGGGGCCAACAGTTGATAATACTAGTTATCTTTTGATTGAGAGCTCACTTTGATATTAGTCATCTCGTCCTCATGTGTTTTAAGCTGCAAAAAGACGATCAAAAGTAGCCAATAAGCAAGTCAAATAACTCATCGAGGAGATGAAGTGGATGAAGTTCATGATGAAACGTGTGATAAGGAAGAGTGATTAGCTTCACTCAATTTCTTAACATGCTTAAATCTCTCGTTAAGATTAAAAATACATATACCAAATTTTTAATTGCTAACACATATTTTTCCAAACAAAATCAAATAATATTATTTTCAATCTTAAATGTATTTAATTATATATCAACTATTGTTAAAATATATTTTGAAAAATTCTTTTACATATTCATAGATTTCAAATATAAATATAAAAACTAATTTATTTTACTTTTGTCAAATTATATATAGAGAATTTGTATGTAGATTTAATTGTGAGATTTAATATTAAATTTCGAAATAGTTTTTTTAGGCAAGTTCATGAATATTCAAATTTGTTTGGCAATTGGATTTAGAGTAATGGTATGTAATATTTTGAAGTACCGTAATTGTGTTTGGTAATGAGTATA